ACAGGTATTATTGTCAATACTGGCATTTACTTTCATACCAGCAAAATTAATAATATCTGTACATGTTCATACTGTGTTCTTCTGTGTTATGACAATGTGCAGACCCTAGTGACTGAGGCAGTGTATTCCTTCAAAACAATGGTATCAACATACAGTACTACACAATCTGAATGTTCCATATTTACCATGCCAACCATTAAACATTGTTACCTTAGTATCTGTCTACATCATCTACATTTAAATAATTTATGTAGACAGCATTCATCTTCATGCCTTGTGGGACAATGGAACACCTAAAGGTGAAGATGAACTTTTGTTGGTTCATAACACACACATTGCCACACAACAAATATATATATATATATATTAGAAATATTTTACGAGAATTTCCTTGTGTCAAATCATCTTATTTGCATATAAGTTTTAATGAAAGACGCTTTGTTTCAGGAACGTAAAGATTACAACTGGTGCATTTATGAAGTTTTAAATTCTTTGTTTCTGTAGTCATGTTTTGATGAGCATGAAGTGTGTGTGCAGGTTGGCAACCCTGCTGCATTCACAGTTGAGTCACGATAATAAGAGTAATGAACTATAACATAAGCCAGAGATGCAGTATTTTCTGATGTACATGATTTTGAGTGGACCAATATCTCTCTCTGTACCATTCTCCTACAGCTTACAATATTATCAAAATGCCTTTCCTCCTACACCCCTGGAAAATTGTAAACCAATAATAAATACGGATCATTGTTCCACCTGCAAGCTTGCTGTAGCAGTTGGAGGCTAGAAGACACAGGTTCACCAACTTAAATATGTAGCATTAATTGTATTATTAAAACTGAAATGCAGCTATGTTGTTAGGAACATAGTGGCAGCTGTGTGTGGTGTCTGTGAGTTAAGGTACAGAATCTAGATGTAAGAAATGAAAAATATTTGCTTTGAAATGATTTTACTACTGTCCCTTCTGGAAATTTCTTCTGAGTTAAGTGATGACTCAAATGATACTGCCTCGCCCTATTAGCATTCACATAAGTTGTTTTCTCTAATGAACCCACACTGAGAGGTCAGTGGAGCACATGGATCACATTTTGAAAGTAAAATAATGAGGCAGACATACAAACACCTGAAATGAGGCATGTGAAGCACTGTCTTGAGCCCTTTTCACAGTAGTGACATAATACAGCAAAACCTTGAACAGTGGAACAAAATGTAGAGAGCATGAAGCAAGTCAAAGCCATCTAAAAACTCTGCTTCCATGTTCTGTAATCAAATTCCAGATTCTCATATCTACTATCCGCATGAGGCATAATTTTTAATCACTTAAGACAGTTCATAGAGTTTTAAATGCTGCATCCAAAAGAAGACGGGAAAAGTGGAATTCAGTTTTAAAACCTGAGTAAATATTTCGTTAGCAATTTTCAAAAGTGGTCACAATTTCAGTTCATGGTACAGGCAATCAAGCCTGTTCCAACTTCAGATATTCATTCCATCATCTGCATGATCTTCCTTGGTCTCGCTGTCCTTTTGGTTTATACATGCATACATACATACTACAGAACCTTCACAAGGAAAAGGATGAATTATAAATGCTAGTAGGTTATATATGGGGAACAATATGAAAAACCCTCCTGTAATAAATAATTATTTCATAACTAAGTAAATTTTTCATTATCACTTTATTAAAAGTTGAATTAATATGATGATAACATAGTTCCAGAGAGTATGGAGCAGATACAGACTAGGAAAAGCATAGCACACTACATATATATATATATATACAGGGTGTCCCAGGAGGAATGGACCAAACTTCGGGAGGGTGTTCCTTATGTTAAAGTATGCCGATATAACCCAAAACACCTATGTCCAAAGTTGAACGGTTACGGAGATAATGGCCCGAGAAAAGTGTGGTCTTCTTGCAGGTCCACGCACTGTGGACAGTCAGCTGTGACTGTTATCTGTTTGTACTTGAGTGTGGTGATGTCACACTAGCCGTGATCTCATGCGCAACCTACCAGAGCCTACA